CGGGCGGTCCCAGTGGAACCTTCGATGGAGCTCCCAATGGAGCTACGAAATGCTGTACTGGGTGGTGGATGACGCACGCAGGCGGTCCCACTGGGGCCTTCGCACGCGGGCGGTCCCAGTGGGGCCTTCGGTGGAGCCCCCTATGGGGCCACGCAGCGCTGCAATGGGTGGTGGATGGCGCACGCGGGCGGTCCCAATTGGAGCCTTCGGTGGAGGTCTCGATGGGGCCACGAAATGCTGTGCTGGGTGGTGGATGACGCGTGCGAGAGGTCCCACTGGAGCCTTCGGTGGAGCCCCCTATGGGGCCACGAAATGAGGGGCGAGGGGGAGGAGGAAGAAGGAAGGAGGAGAACGCGGGGCGCTGTCTCTTCAACGGAAATAACTGAATTTGGCCTTTTTCTGGCTTTCCTGGAGGTCCTCTTGGAGGCCTCTTGGGCCGTCTTAGGCCAGCTTCGAGCCAACTTCAGCCATTTTGGTGGGTTCCTGGCACGTCTGACGCCGTCGAGAGCCGTCTTGGGGGCCTCTCTGAACCGACTTGGGGTCCTCTTGGGCCGCTTCGGGGCCGTCTTGGAGGCCTCTTGGGCCGTCATGGGGCCCTCTCAGAGGCCTCGTGGGCGATGGTGGGGCGATCTTGGCGGCCTCTTGGGCCGTCTTGAGCCGTCGGAATGCCGAGAAGAGGCAAATGCCAGAATCCGTCAAAAACCATAGGAAATTCATGATGTTGGCCTCTGTGGGCCATCCTGGAGCACCTCTTGGAGGCCTCTTGGGCCGTATTGAGGCCTCTTGGGCCGTCTTGGGCCAGGAGAGTATGGGAAGTTGGGGGAAGACGAACACCCAGAACATTGAGGAGCATAGTGGGTTACTTGTGATTATTTATGTGTGTCCCTGGGCCCCTTCAGATATATACATAAATACGCACACACTAGATGTACTCATATACATATATATATATATATACAAATGTGTATGTATACACAATCCACGAGCGGCGGGCACCTACGTATCCGCGCCCGCGCGGTCTGGATTCCAGGGCGTACGCTCCCACGGATACGCGGCCCCAGCCTGCCAGACAAATGTGTATGTGTTCGTCCTTAGATGTTTTTTGTTATTTTTTGAGTGTTCCTCCTGTAGAGGGACACGCCAGGTATAAGGGTAGGCCGCCCCGAGCCGGCCCCTGTGACTAGTCGGATATAGCCAGAACCCCAGGTAAGGGGACCCAGTCAGTAGTAGGGCCCCCGAGCCCCTAAACCGAGGGCACCTCCCCCGATCCATGGATTAGGCGACCGCGCGCCAAATCCATGGATCGCTAATCCATGTTTGCGCGCCCCCGAAACAGGGGACACGCTGCATGCAGTAGCCGCCATGCACGGAGAAAGAGGTGGAGCCCCGGCGCGACACACATTTTCCGTCAGCGGCGAGGCGGCGAAATCCGCTCCACCGTGATGCTAGGTAGGGGCACTAGCGCATTGGCCGGCAAGCGAGGGAATCAGGGACAACGATAGGGGGGTAGCCATAGGAGGGGATGCGTCGACCCCCAATCGCCCATTGATCGCCGCTAGGGGCCCGATAGCCCCAACCTGCCCAGGAAGGTGCGGATTCACAGTCTGGGTCCTATCGCCGACCCCCCTATGCCAGCCCCCCCCCCCCTATCGTTGCCCCTCAGTAGTAGGGCCCCCGAGCCCCTAAATTGGCCAGAGTCACTAGACCAGGTCTTCCGTAGCTGGTGTTTTTCGGGTGACGGCAGTTCCGGTTAGTGCAATGGGGCGGGAGTGCGTCCCCCAGTACACGTCTTTCAACCAGGTTTAAGTCGGGCTTGCCCCTCTACAGGGGGAATACTCCAAAATCGTAAAACATAGTCTAGGGACGATGTTTTGACCATTCTTGAATTTTTGTTTGCGTATTTTTTGTTTGCCACTTGTTACTTTTCGTCCAAAGCTCCCCTGTAGGGGAACACGCCCGACCCAAAACTAGGTCCCACCAGACAAGTCCCACCGACGCCCGATCTGGGAGAGACCGGCGGAAGGAGAGGCGAGACCCTCTCGGAGGCCTCTCTTCGGGATGACCCAAAAGTCCCCCCAGGAGGCCTCCCGAGAGGCCTCCAAGACACCCCAGAAGAGGCCTCCCGAGAGCGCCCCAAATTGGCCAAGATCATTGACCTTCTACTGGAGTTTTGGAGGACTTGGGGTTTCTCACCTTTTCTGGCCTCCGACGCTCAAAAGCGGCTCAAGAGGTCCCCACGACCACCCCAAGACGGCCAAAGATTCGGTTGACCCAAAAGGGGGTCCAGCTGAAAGGGGGGTGGTGCAATAGATTTGGTGCAACATATTTGTGGGGTTGCAATAGATTTGGGGCGTGCAACGTATTCGGTGCGCAACAATACATTTGCGATATTATTGCCCCACATCTATTGCACCACCCCCTTTCAGCTAGACCCCCTTTTGGGTCAACCGAATCTTCGGCCGCCTTTCTTGTGGTCCTCTTGAGCCGCTTTTGAGCGTCGGAGGGCAGAAAAGGCGAGAACGCCCAAGTCTTTCAATGCTCTATAGAAGGTCAGTGATTCGGGCCCTTGAGGCCCTCTTGGGAGGCCTCTTGGAGGCCTCTTGGGGTGTCTTGGAGGCCTCAAGGGCGTCCGGGGGCCATCCTGAGCGTCTTGGAGCGATCGTTCGGCGACTCGGGGCCCTCTTGGACCGTCTTCGGGGCCTCTCGGGGTCCTCTTGGCTCGCGTTGGGGCCTTCTTGGGCCCGGGAAGGTCATGCCACAAGACGCGGGGGAGCACAGGAGAACGGCGACGAGGCCCGCCAAGTTTGAAAAGTGGGGCTCTGGGACCCCTAAAGACTCGTCAGGACCGAGAACTGAGGCTCCAGGGATTGGGCAAAGGACCTGAGGACGCGCCCACTCCGTGCTCAGAGGCACGGTGGCGGATAGTTGTTTGTTCCTCTACCCATCGGTCCAGACCAATAATCATACCTCCAGCTCCTTGACCGTATGCCAGCGTTTGTTCTGCCCCCATGCGGCCGTGCTCGGGCTGGGGCCATAGAACTTTTTTGGGGAATGGAAAGCCTGCCTTTGGGGAAGAGTCGGGATTTCCAGGGACGCCGAATTGAACAGTGAAGACATCGGGTGTCCAGCCCGGAAAAAACAGTTGCATGCAGCTGGTTTCCCAATTCCCCCAGCCACGGGTGTCCACAGTCCAGTCGGTTCGGCTGCACTGCAGTCGGTTGTACGCGGTCGGTTCGTTTCGATCGGCGTCGGTTCGCTTTTGGGTCTGTTGTTCCCGTGGTCGCCTACGATGACCCAGACCGCCCAAATTGGGACATTGGTTCCCGAGGACGAGACTGAGGAGGAAGAGGAGGAGGCGGAGGTCTTCGAGGAGGGAGAGGAGGAGGAGGAGGAGGAGGAGGAGGAGGAGGAGGAGGAGGAGGAGGTCTTCGAGGACTACGGTGGGGGCGTTCGTGAAGGAACGTGCCCAGGAGGCTTCAGACCCTGGAGGGTTCCTTATTTGATGAGGGCGGCGGTGATATCCACTGCCAATCCACGATTGGCACTCCAACAGACTCCAGACCCTGGATTCATTGTCGAAGGTTTCCTCCTCCAATGCCATCACCGTACGTGGCTTTGGGGGGACCTCTGGGGGCCTCCAGGGGCCTCTGGAGACCTCCAGGGTCGCCTCTGGAGACCTCCGGAAACCAGAGCATAGATGGGGTCTGAGGATGGCGCCGCACTGCATGATGGGCTTGTTTTCCAACTTCCATCACCATAAGTTGGAGGGGGAGGAGGTCCTCCTCCTCCTCCTCCTCCTCCTCCTCCTCCTCCTCCTCCTCCTCCTCTCTGTCCTTCTCCTCCTCGTCCTCCACCTCCTTCCCCCCTCCAACTTATGGTGGCGGTGGTGGAAAACAGGCCCATCACTGCAGATGCATCGGCGATGCAACGCGATCCAGAGCCCGATTTGTTTTCCATCCCGACGTCTCCAGAGTATTGCCGACGCGATGCGGGCCTTCGACCCCGCCTTCTCTGGCCTTCAGATGAAGAGGAAAGGAGAAGGAGCCTCCCAAATTTTCCGTCACGAAAACATAGTGGAGACCAGCTTTCTTTCAGTTTCGGCTGTTGGATGCCCGTTCGAGGCCCACCACCCTCAAACAACGATCTGGGGTCAAGCACTAGTCACTGGGGTGGGGTCCAGAGCTTCCAGGAGCAAACTCCACTAGAAGAAGTGGCGTCGGTCTCCTTTGGGGGGAGGTCCAGCCCGAAGCTTCTGGACGTTTTGGGCCCTTCCGCTGCGAACCTCGACACGCCTCCGGGGACCTCAGGAGGCCACGGTGCCCTCTCTCATCCCTCCTGCCTCTGGCCTTAAGTCGGGCCTGTCCCCCTACAGGGCGATCTTCGACGAAAAAATAAAAATACCCCAAACATACCCCAAAAAGGTCAAACAATATCCAAAACATAGTCCCCAGACTATTTTTTGGGGGGGTATTTTCATTTTTCGTCGAACATCCCCCTGTACGGGGACAGGCCCGACTTAACTCTGGCCTCCCTCTTGTGGGGGCTGGCCAAGAGGCTTGGTCGGAGCACGGTCGAACCGAGGGATAGGATCGAGGTCGGTTCGGGAGGGAGCCCTCATGTTCTTCGTGTTTGTTGGATGCTCTTGTGCATCCTCGGGGAGGGCACCCTCGAGCGATAGTATGGCTCGGGATGTGTTAGCTGGTGGGGTGTGTCATGTTCTTCAAGGATGGTACAGTCGCCCCGCGTAGTAAGGATGGACAACCTTCCCAAGGGTATCCTTGCATCCTTGCCTCCTCGGTCCATCCTTCGCCGCTTTCGCTTGCCGCGCCCCGCTCGAAAAGCTTCGAAATGGGCGTTCAAGGCCCTTGCATCCTTATCGCGCGTCCTTACAATGCTGATTGACTGCAGGTCCGACCGTTCTTGGTTAGGGATGGCCGTTAGCTTTCCGTTAGCCTGGCCAGCCCCTTTGCAATCTCGCCCGAACGTTCGAGTCCTCCCAGACAGCCGCCAGCGACTCCTGCAACTTGCGCCCGTACCACTTGTCTTCCTGGAGGCAGGAGCTCGAGCCAGGGCTTGTGGACGAGGCCACTGCCAACGCCGTCAAGAACCCGTTGGGAGCCACATACCCAAAGCTGCACTTTGTGGAGGAGGACACGCTCGTGATCGGGGACATCACCGTGAACGACGCCAAGGAGTCCTGGGACATCCCCGAGCTGGAATCTGGATCAGTCCGCGCAGGCCCGACCCGCACCATCTTCCACGAGCCGTCCAAGACTCGGCGGTGACGAGAGGGGCGAATAGCCCAGGGGCGGGCATTACACGTAGTCGCCCGGGAGCCTTTTCGAAGACATAGATCATCGGCGCACTTGAATACATGGATTGCTCTCCCATTGGCTATTCGCCCCTATCGTCGCCTCTGAAAGACAAAAGCGGCAATCGTGACGTGCGGCGGCCTGTGTCCGGGCCTGAACTCCATCATACGGGAGGTGACAAACACCTTGTGGACTGATTACGGCATCCGGGACATCGTTGGCTTGACGGGGGGGTACAACGGATTGAGCGATCCCGAGAACAACCCGCCAGTGGAGTTGACCAAGGATTCCGTGAGCGAGATCCACATGAAGGGCGGAAGCATATTGAAGGCAGGGAGGGGCGGGCTGGACCTTCCAAAGATCTGCGACAATTTGAAAACGATGGGGATCAATATTCTTTTCGTCGTCGGGGGCGATGGCACACAGTACGCAGGCAATATGCTTTACGAGGCTTGCAGGGAGCGCGACTTGCCTGTGAGCGTGATTGGCGTCCCAAAATCGATCGACAACGACGTGTTGGTATTTGACAAGACCTTTGGTTTTGAGTCGGCTGTTGTGTCGGCGTCCGAGACCGTGCGCAACGTCTGGGTGGAGGCCACCAGCTGCCAGAAGGGGGTAGGCACCAGGGTGGGGCGGGAAAGTTTGCGGGCCGTATGTCAAGAGGGTAAACAACACACACACACAGACACAATCAATCGTCGATTCCCAAGAAACATTGAAAAAATACCGGAAGTGGGGGGGAAGACGAACACCCAGAAAATATTGTAAATTATATAACATAGTTTTACTTGTGTGTGTTTATTTGTGTGTCCCAGGGCCCCTTCAGTATGCCTGAGCCAGAGACGGAGCGTAAATTCGAAGGAGCCCGCCGCAGGCGTCGATAACCTCTGCGAAGCAATCAGCCCGCCGTAAGCACAGGATTTTCGCGAAACAAGTGTGGGCTGGTCCACCTCCTCATCCTCCTCCTTCTCCTGCTCCTCTTCCTCCTCCTCCTCCTCCTCCTCCTCCTCCTCCTCCTCCTCCTCCTCCTCCTCCTCCTCCTCCAGGGGGCGGGCCGATGCCGCATCTCGAGGACGGGAAGTCACTGTAGCATGAGCCCGCCGCGGGCACTGAACACGTGACCAGCCCGCCACAGGCGACGCACACTGCGCATCACGATGTGGGTGGGTCGCGCACGGGTCGTCGGTATGGGTCGCAGGTGTGGGTAGCCGGGCGGGGCTCGTTTCGGTTCCTCCGATTAGAGTCGATTCGATTTCGATGGCTTCCGATTCCGATTCGATTCGGCTACGGATTCCGATTGGGATTCCGATTCCTCAATGGAGGCCTACTAGCCTGCCGACTTCCGCCGATCCGACTTTTCCCGACTCGGCTGCCGATTTCTGCCGATCGATCCGAGTCCTTTCGGTTGCCGATCCGACTTCGCGATTCGATTCTGGGCTCTCCTGGCCGAGGGGGTCGGAGGAGGAGGAGGCGTGAGGAGGAGGAGGAGGAGGAGAAGGAGGGAGGAGGATTAGAAGAGGAGGAGGAGGAGGAGCAGGAGGAGGAGGAGGGAGGAGGAGGAGGAGGACCAAAGAGTCATCAACGATGTTGGAATTAACCCTCCCTCCGAGCTCCGTCTCCATAGGCTCCTACAACAGCTCATTTCCATTGAGGGAAGTGCCTCGCTGTAAGACAACGGTTTGAAGAACCTGACGCGTGCCTAAGCATTAGGTTTCGGTATTTCAACGCCACGTATCAACCTGACTGCTCCGTCTTGACGATCCAGAATCGTGCCAGAACGCCATGTTCGGTACTTCAACACAGCGAATCATCATAATTGTTGCGCCCGCATAATCCTGAACCCTTCCAAAACACTATTTCTAGTACGCTGATCATGGGGATCTGCGGATTCCTTGTATTTTCATATGCGCGGCGCTAAGGCTAGAGCCACATTTTGAAAAGAAACCGCCCTCAATCCGTGAAACTCTGGCAAATTTAACAAACGAATGTGTGCGGCGCTAGGGCGGGAGACACATTTTGAAAAGGAACCGCCCTCAACCCGTGAAACTCTTTCAAATGTTTATAGTACGAATGTGCGCGGCGTTACGGCGAGAGCCACATTTTGAAAACGACCCGTTCTCAATCCGTGAAATTCTTGCCAAATTTTTAAAACCAACGTGCGCGGCGCTAAGGCGAGAGCCACAGTTTGAAAACCACCCGCCTTCAATCCGTG